GGCGCGGCGCCCGCCTCGGTGTGCGGGAGCGACACGTCGCTGTGGCGCCGCTCGTGCCTCGCGCGGGACACCCGGGCGTGCATGCGCATCTGCTGCTCCTCGGGCTGCGGCTTCACCGGGTACCGCGCCAGGTTCGGGTCGCTGCGGTACCGCGTCTGGTACTCCTCGCTCCTCTGCTTCTCCTCCGCCGCCGCCTTGCCCTCCTGCCGTTTGTCCGGCAGGTCGGGGTAGTCCTGGGACCGCCCTTTCTCCAGCCGCCGGCTGTCCCGCCGCTCCCGCCGCTCCCGGTCTTCCGCGGGCCCCTCTGCGGGCTGCGCCGCGGCCTTGGGCGCGCGTTTCCGCAGCTCGCTCTTCGGGGCGCCTTTGCCGTTCTGCTCGGCGAGCCCCGGGGTCTTCTTCCTGAGATACACAAAGGAACGTCAGGGACAGCGGCGTGTGCAGCCCCGGGCGAAGGCCGGGCCTTCGTATCCTGATTGAAATCCTTTCAAACAATCACTTAAAGTCCATGTCTGATTAAAAAGCGGCAGGATAAGGAACCATCTTAAACCTGTGTATCTGACTAGCCTTCGAAATAAGGCTCCTTCCATTACAGTCTGCTCAGGGACTTTAGAAATCGTTTGCACATTTAAAATTCTCTCTGTATTAACCAGACCGATACATTCATTCAATAAATGAATAAGTTGTATGCTCACCACTGCTTGAGAATCAAAGACTAAAAATGTTTTCGATGAAACTAATACAGGTAGTAATGTAGGAGAAAAAGAATATAAACAGCAATTCAAAACAGATATATATACTTGATATATATTTGGACTGTATTTATTGGCAATCTTTTACNTAATGTAGGAGAAAAAGAATATAAACAGCAATTCAAAACAGATATATATATACTTGATATATATTTGGACTGTATTTATTGGCAATCTTTTACTGTAACTGAAACTTTTAAAGAAATGTGAATACAAGTGGGTCCATTTCACAAATCCAATCTAATAGCATTTCTTCAATAGTAGGAACAAAAGTAATTTTAACGAGATGATGTACACCCAAACATCTTTTTAGGAAGTTGGTTAGGAAAAAAAAATGCCTGAACCTTAACCTTTATTTTACCTTCCATTGGCCAAAATAATAGAAATGTTGAAAAATTTGAAATTAATACTTATTTTTCCTTCCCTCTCCCTCTCCCTAATTTCAGAACAGTGCAAAAGAAAAAAACTGTTTTGTTTTCTACTTTTCTCTCTGTCCTGTTGAAGACACTGGCAAGATGAAAGGAAAAGGGTTTGGCGTTCTTTGAATCTTATAGATGTATCAATCATTCAGTTGCTCCTTGCAGCCCTTCTCTGCACCTGATTTTGGAAAGGTCCAGCAACTATTCCAGAAGTTACAAAAAGTAGGTGGCTTGACTAAGCATTCTCACACTGTATGATCTATGCAATTAGAAATGAAGACAACCTAAGGCTCTCTTTGGAATCCTGACTTCCACTGAGAGGGCTTTCCAGAGGGAGCATCGTTTGGCTAGAAGTCCCAAAGCAGAAGTAATAAACAAAAATCAAGGAAAAATACAACATGAGAAAAAGTAGGGCAAATTCCATTGTGGATTACCAAAGTAGTAATTGTTGAGATAGGTTAAGTATCCGCTTGAGGAGGGGCTAGCGATGCTGAAAAGAAAGAGCCAAGGGTTTCACGTGGCGTGGGAAAGCAAAAGGAAAACATGACAAATTCTGCTTCAGATTACATTGGGCCCTTGAAGTGAAAGGGATTTTCATCAGAAGGTGGAATGGCAAGGGTGGCATTGTAAGGGGTTTAATCGAATCCATATTAATCATTATCAAATAGAGTTTTCATAAGAGCATGATGATTGTACTGCAGTCATTTAATAGCTCATTAAGGCATAGTTGATCTCATTAGAAGCTTATATTGTGTTAATTTACTGTTCCTGAAATGCCGATAAATAATGCTTACCTTGCACAATTCATATGAGGCTTAAAGGAGACACCATCTGTGAAAATGCTTTATGAAAAGAGAGTATTATGAAAATGGAAGGAGTTCTCCAGTCTGATTCTTTGCTGTACTGACTTTTTCTCACCTCTACCTTTAATTGTTCCATTTCCACTAGCTCCTGATGAGTGTGTAAAATATGATCAAGAATTCGTCAATAATTTAAAACAAACAAAATGCCATTTTTTCAATCTTGCTCCTCTCCCTGAAGTTGTCACCTGCCTCTCTTTTCCTTCTGATGCACTCTCAATGTCCTTGCTCTTAAGTATTTACATAATCAGCAAGTAATTTGTATAATCACAAGGACATTTGCCCCATCAATTGTCTTCAGATTTCATCTAAAAGTTAAAATTCTTTTCTCAGTCCTCATTTTTGAATTTTTTAAACTTTTTACCACATGTCATAAACAAGATTCGTATTTTCTCTTTAGAAACTTTATAGCACCAATTTGTTATTTAAAGATACCATTTTCTGACCAGTCCTAAATTGCATCTTTGATATATTTTTTTCTTAAAACACATCAGTTTGTCACTAAAAGCTATTAATTGTCTATTAATTGAGTTACCTCTGGTGTTCTTTCTGTTTTCTTTCCACATAGTTTATGTATACTCATTTTCTCTTCCTGTAATGTCCTACCTACCTTACAACTCCTGGATACCCTATGAAACTTAATTCAGAATGCACTTCCTCTTTCCTGCAGCTACCAAAATACTATACGTATTTTCTAGTTTTGATTAAATGAGCCTTCTGGTACAGTTCATTGCCCTAGGATATTGTGTGGTATCTTCCCTAGGATCTGTGAGATCGTGCCCTAATCGTCTTTATACTCTCTGATTCCTGGCACAGTGTTTGCTTATAGTAAATATACAATGGCTATTGGCTTGAATAATAGCTACATTTACTGAATGTTTACCATGTGCCAGCTTCTGAACACATGTTCTCATTTAATCCTGCCACAACCCCATAAGGTGGGTTGTTGTTACTAGTGTGGCAGAGTCAGAACTGGAATCTAGATCTGTTTAACTTTGAAGTCCTTGATTTTATTTATGGGCTTCTGTTTGAAAAAGGGGAGCAAAGGCCTTCCTTGGAGCCAAAAGCAGCCAAGCCTGCCCTTAACAATAGTCAGTCCCCCAAACTACCAAGGGTGTGAAGAAAAGGGCTATGTACTCCTTGTTAACATTGTCTCCCAGTGCAAAGCTTCCTGTCTAGTCATAAATACATTGTTTGAATGAATGAATGAATGAATCCATTGAAATAAATTATCTGATCATGTTAGCCCATGCTTAAAATCCTCAGTGGCCTTCCATTGTTCCTAGGATGAAATCTATAAAATTTAACCTGGCCAAAAGGCCCAGTGTGACCCAGGACCTGATAACCTCTGCTACTCACACTCTAGCCAGTGGGCATCCTTAGGTTTTTCCATCAGCCTTTTCTTCAGACCACATGCCCTTACATATACCTGGAACCCCCATCCCACTCTTCACCTGTTTAATTCCTAGTCACTTTTCAGAGCTCAGCATGAACGAAATGTCCTCAAAGAAGGCTTTGATAATGTACCCACACGCCCTCCACTGGGTCAGGTGCCCCCATCATATTCTCTCAGAGCATACTTTCAATTAAAGGACTAATTTTATAAGTGAATAAATGATCTAAAAGCTTTGCTGAATTCAAGGTTTGAAGTTAGTAGCCCAACTGGGTGACTTGTTTATATATGTGCATACTGACAGAGAAACTTCTCAACAAAGGTCTCCGAAGACATGATACATTCTAGAGATAAACAAAGCACCTCATGCCTGTTGTCACCTTCCATGTGGGGCCTGAGAAGTATCGCCTCCACACGTCTTTCTTAGTAAATGTTAAGTTCTTGAGAATGGGTTGTCAATACAAGACCTTGCCTTTTGCTTACAGAGTTAATGAACTATTACCTCTCTCTTGGAGGTTCACTTCTAGACCTGGATGCAGCCTGCTTCTGTTCTGGCCCCACGGCTTGCTGGGAGGGCTCAGCCCCTTTGCTCCTGTCTGGCTGTGCACTGGGAGGAGCCGTGTCCTGGGAGGAGGCAGCTGCTGTGCTCAGGGGAGTCTGAGACCGTGATCGCTCTTGGAGCCGTGCTTTCTTTTCTCTGGGTACCTCAGAACCAGCACCTGTAGCTGTGTCACTTAGGGTTCCATCCTGACTGGGCTGCTGAGGGCCACTTCCAAAGAACCAGGCCCCAGATTTGGTTAAGATTTCCTGTTGCTTTCGACATAAATTGCATACCCACATAACCTATTTGAAGAAGAGAGAACAGTATAAATTTTCTATGCCATTTGGAGATAATTTATTTTCATTGAACTAAAATATCTTTTAAGGAAGAAATGGTTGTCATTGTCATATTTATCCTTGTAAATTTCTTGTGAGAAATTTGCACAAGTCACAGTCAAGTATATGAAATCACAGTGCCTCTGGGTAACCTTTTCCTTGCCATTCTAACCCTATGATTCTGAGTTTCCTTTTACCATATATCCAAAACATTTAGTATGACTAACCCTGAAGTGTCATTTAAAATACTGTAACTAAAATGTTCTAAGAGGGTAGCTGAGTGATTAGAAAAATACTGTAAGGAGCTATAGAATTAGTATTTATGTACATAAAGTTCAGTATCTCAAAGGATTTAGAAGGTATCTGTTTTTTCAAAAATCATCCATTACTAAAGCCAATATTAAAATATGTTCTTATGGACAAAAAAACAATAAAAGGTGCAAAAAAAGGTCAAGCTGTGTATTTATTTTCTCTAGTTTATTAGTAGAAAACTAACCTCAAGTTTATTGTATGCTATTAAATATAATTTTCCACCCACATATTTACTAAATCAGTAAATCTGGGGCTGGGTTTATTCATATGTGACACTCTGATATAGTTTCCACCAGGAGAGCTGTTTTGGAAGAGTCACTTAGAAACACATCCACTGATAAATCATAAGGTGTATGACCACTTAAAATAAATATACATGCTCTCCTCCTGGTGACATTTAAAATGAATGTAATAACGAAGACAATGATGACAATAGAAATAATAATAACAGTGAACACCCAGCAGACACAGAGCTGAGACTGGTGCCTGCAGGCCCACGAGCCTTCTCTTCAAGTATCCCCAGTACCTCTACTTCGTGGTGAGTTCATCTTGCTACCCCAGCTGATTTCCTTTGAACGTACTTTCATTTTTCTTTGTATTTAAGAAATGACACCCCCCCCAGGAAAAAACTGATCACCAAACTCTAGGCTCTCATTTTCACAAACACGACTTCAGTCAACATTACTCAAAAATATCACATAAGGATGAATAAATCCTAGATACATTACATGAGAAACAATGAGTAAAAGAAGCTTTGTTTATTTGGCAAAAAGAAGAAAATGTACAACTGAAACATTCAGATGGACAGGAGGAAAATTATAACTGAAGCCATAAAATTTGATAAAAGCTAAAGTGAGACTATGAAAAATAGGGAGAAAAGTAATACATTTTTAACATAGAAAATATTTCAGATAAACTGCTAAAAATTGCTGCTTTTTGTAAGTGAGGAAACGCAGATGAATACAGGGTGGGGCAAAAGTATGGAAAATAAGACAATGATTAATAAATAATAAAAAATAAACTGCGTTTCACGTACTCATAACTCTAAATCTAGTTTTGCCCCACCCTATATGGAAAAACTAAGCCTTAAAGATATTTGCAAAAGATATTTAAGATTGTTAAAGCTTAATTCATTCCTCCACATTTCCTCAGATCACAAAATGAACTAGGTTCACAAAAGTAGTTAGGTAGACATAGTATCTACATACTCTTATAATCAATATCACAGAATTACCATCTGTTAAGATGTTAACAAGATGAGCAATGCATTACATAAGCCTATATCAAAATAAAGGATTTATGGAATTCATCTTCAGTTTCCAAATAAGGCTATATTATGCTCAATGTACAATCTCATTATGTCATAGATAAGGTCCCTCAGAAGTGCTGATGGGTTGTACATGGACATATCAAAGATTGCATCTAGGGAGCAATGTCCCAGCACCATGACCTCCATGCACAGTGACATTGATTCTCCTCTGCCTAGACCTTGGGTGGGGACAGGTGATGTGCTTCCTCCCTAGTTGCTTCTTTAGCTGACAGGACAGTGATGAGCAGGTCTGAAACCATACCACATGCAGTAAGTCCTCACTTAAAGTCACTGATAGGTTCTGCAACTTTAAGTGAAACAACAAATAACCACCAAACATACCACAAGCTAACTGATATAAACAGAAGTTACTTTCCTATGGCATCTCATCAATGTTATAAGGAAACAACATTGAAGAAATAACATTATTCCAGGACCTGCTGTATTAAGGAGATGGGTATAAAACACTGGCTATTTTACATCAACTGAGTAGACATTAAATTTGTATTTATTACATTAATTATATGCAAAATATTATTCATGACCTAAATTAAGTCCTTTTCTACAAAAATATTAAACCATCCTTATAAATCCATAAATTTCCTTTAAAATTGTACAGAAAAACAATAAAATTTACAATTAATACAAGGATTCCAAAGTGGAACAAAAGGGCAGAAAGGAGAATAATAATACTGATTAAAAAAAAAAGAGCAAAGACTGTTCACTTCATCGTGCACTTTTATATTTTCTAGAAAATTCTTATCTTGATTTCTTTGCATTTTTAAATGTTAGAAAGATGGGCCAGTAAGAAGTAATTGCCAGATTTGGGAAAGTTCCAAATTTTGACTATGTGCAGAATTGCTACAGGATCAATAAAACTAAACAAAATGTAGTTATTAATTTTAGTTAAATTTAACAATTCATTTAATATCATTTTAAATTTATTTAAAAGGTTACAGTTAGAGGGTAAGTAGAAACAGCTACTTTAATATTTTCAATCTATTATTTATTCATTTATGTCTGTGATGTTTTATTTTTGATGTTTTGTCTATTTTTAACACTTAGGGATATATTGTTTAATTCCAAATATTATCCTATACTTTATTTTCATGTGCATCACAGCATTTTTAGATTTATATTTTAAAATTGATTACAAATGTGGTCAATCTATCCTCTAATTTCAAAGCAAAGTTAACTATAAAAAAGTCAAAATATTTTTATTACAATGTTACCTCCCAATCTCAATTAATAGCTATATAAATTACTCCTGCCACAAAGTTTACAAATAAAAAAGAAATTGCTTATATGAGTTGTAAAGAAAATATATTTTTTCTCATATCTTTCAAAATAGTTTATATCAAACATTACAGACATGTATAAAAATGAGCCAAATGGTTACTAAGAATTATGAATGTTTAAAGATTCTCTTTTTGAATTTAGTACTAAATATCATTATGCTTGCCTGGAACTATATAGATAACCCAAAAGTGGGATGGGGAACCTTTTAAACTAATTTTTAAAAAGAGCATAAGGCAATTATTTTTACACACAAAAAAACAAGCAAAACCTATTTATTTCACACACACACACACACACACACACACACACACACACACACACACACCCTATCTTTTAGAGACTGCACTATGCAGGATTATACCCTGATAAAGTACCCTGGGATGTGGCCCATACCAATCCAAACTAAAGCAGGTCTGTGTAATGACTTAGCTTAATAATTTACAAATGTTAAGCAACCAAATAAATACAAACTCAAATAAAAGATTATCATGATGTTACATGGCTTCTGAAAGTCTATGCCATACATCAGAAATAGGAAGAATATTTGAAAATTTTATTCTGACCTTTTGATCTAACAGCATTTAAATTTTACCTTCCCACTTAATGAATACTTAAGAAATACAGTAGATCGTTTTATAAAACCACAGAAATATTTTACCCAGAGAAATAAAAAACACTCCATATATAATATGTGTGTGTGTGTATAGAGAAAGAGAGAAAGAGAGAAGATGAATGAATGAATATGAATTCCATAGATAAAATTGAGAGTTTGGCAGAAAATGTTATTCATATGGAAGAAATACTTTACACTTGCCTTCACATGAAATGTTTATAGAACCAGGAACACAGAGCAGAAAAAATATGCCTTAGATTTACTGTTGATGATGTTACTGAGGTGAATCATGACAAAGAAGTACAGAATTCTTATATTAACAATGTCTTGCTTATAAGAATCTATTTGAGGTATTTAGTATTATTGCATAAAGAATAAATATAGGCATGAAGGTTTTTTTAAAAAAAGATAACCTGTGTTTACATTTTCCTTCTATATTTTACACATAAATTTTAAAATTGACTTTTGTTTAATACTATACTTTATTCAAAAAATGTTTACACTACATTTTATGTCAGTTGTGGCACAAGAAGAAACAGAAAACCCAAATAGCCTTAAACTAGTAAAGAAGTTGAATTCATAGTAAAAAGACAAAAAGATGAATTCATAATTAAAGAACAATTTACAATGAAAATTCCAGAACCAGCTATCTTCATTGGAAATTTTTTTTTAATATTAAAAGAGTAAATGATACAAATCTTACATAAACATTTGTTGTTAAAAAAGAGTAAGAGGAACTACTTCCAGTTTTGAACTCATTTTATCAAGTCGGTGTTCCCCTAATACTAAACCCCTGATACAAGGAACCCTGTGAAAAAAAGAAAAGAGAAAAGAAAAGAAAAGAAAAGAAAAGAAAAGAAAAGAAAAGAAAAGAAAAGAAAAGAAAAGAAAAAAGAGAAAGAGGGAGAGGGAGAGGGAGAGGGAGAGGGAGAGGGAGAGGAGAGAAGAAAAAAAAAAAGCACTATATCCGTCTTACAAATAATTATACATCAATAAATTGACAACATAATAGAAATGGATACATTTTTAGAACATACAACCTTCCAAGACCGAATCATGAAGAAACAGAAAATCTGCACAGACTGATTACTAGTAAGGTAATTGAATCAGTATTCAAAAGCCTTTCAACAAACAAAAGCCCAGAGAGCTTCATGGTAAATTATACCAAATATTCAAAGAAGATTTGATACCAATATTCAAACTCTTCCAAGAGTAGAAGAAGCTAAAACACTTCCAAACTCACCTTAGCAGGCGAGCCTTACCTTGATACCTAAAGCAGACAAGCCTTCCCCCAAATCACAGGCCAACGTCCCTAACTAACATGAGTAAAAAAATCTCCAGCAAAATATTAGCAAAATGAATTCAATAATACCTTAAAAGGATCATACACCATGATCAAGTGAGATTTATTCCAGGGATGCAAGGAAGATTCAA